ACCTCTCTCTGTCTCTCTTTCTCTCTGTCTGTCTGTATTTCTGTTTCTGTCTCTATCATTGTGTGTGTGTTTCTTGCTCCCTTTCTCTCCCTGTTTCTCCTTTTTTGTCCTCTCTCTCTCTCTCTCTCTCTCTCCCTCCCTCTCCTTCTCCCTTCTTCTCTCTGAAGATAAACATTATTCTTGTTCATTCCTAAGCCTAAGAATCATTTGACTCATAAACGAGGGAATGATAGAGCATTCATTTAAGCCTCTTCACTACAAAGATCCAGCCAACCTGTTAAATGTTTTCTTCCAATACTTCTAACAAGAGAATTTCACCATAGTCCTCTCACTACCCCACCCTTCTCCTGGAGTTTACCCCAACTTTAAGTTCCCACCACCTCCTTCTCCAATCTACACAAGATGTTTTTGCTGTTCCTATTAACCTACAGGCTTTGATGTTCAAATCAAATCTTTCTTCTCTACCAGAAAAATCCAATATTTTGCTTATGATATGAAAAATATTGAAAGATCCTTTTCTAAATATTTACAATGCTATTTTTTTCAGAATTGCTTTCTTTAGCTTTCAGAACCTCAGCTCACTCTTAGTTAGCCTCTGTTCTTACATAAAGCACATCCTGGCTTCTCAAAGGCAGGGAATAAACTTACTAGACAATCAAACAAGATGACAATGGTTTCACTTTGACTGGTTAGTGGCAGCTTGAGATGACATTATACAGAATATTTCTAATAACATTATTCCATCTTGCTAGTATCAGCATGCATACCATGGAGTTTTACGGCAGGCCAGCCTGGATCTAACCTTCTTCATGCATAAATGGAACGCCAGGGATACAATGCCACATCTCACCCTCATGATGCCACACAGTGCTGTGGTTAAGATTTCCAGGACTGAAAAGTTCTTGCTTTTTTTTGAAAAGCAGCATTTTAAAATTTTCATTTAATTTTACCTTTTTGTGTGCTTAGTCTGCCTGTGTGTCCGTGCACTGCTCGTGTGACTAGTGCCCTCAGAGGTCAGGAGACAGTGTTAGATTTCCTAAAGCTGGAGTTACAGACAGTTATGTACCGCCATGTGGGAACATGGATAACATGGGTTCTCCGGAAGAGGGACCAGTATTCTTAATCGCTGAAGCATTCTCCCTGTAAAAACGGTGTTTTTTTACCCTTTCGAAGTCTCAGACACTTACAGAATGTGCTTCTGTCATATCCATCCACTGCTACACCCCTCCGACTCACCCTGGTTCTACCATTTCATCTTTCTCCCAACCGCAAAGCTTTTTATCTTATTTTTTTAAAAGATTTATTTACTCAGTATTTAAATAGTATTCTGCCTGCATGTGAGCCAACATGCCAGAAGAGGGCACCAGATCTCATTATAGATGGTTGTGAGCCACCATGTAGTTGCTGGGATTTGAACTCAGGACCTTTGAAGGAACAGCCACTGCTCTTAACTTCTGAGCCATCTCTCCCGCCCCAAACCTCTTTATTTTTTTTCTTCATTACTAATAACCCCTGAGTCCACTAAGTGCTAAACATCTGCTAGGGCATGAGTGACAACCAAGTCCCTAAAGGAGAGTGACTTTCCTTCCCTCAGCTGCCAATAGCTTCTCGGGCAGAGGTGGAACCTCAGGAGTCCCTAACCCATCCTTGCTGGAATTTGTTGTTTCTGAGACAGTGTCTCACTTTGTCCCAATTGGCCTGGAATCCCCTATGTAGAGCATGCTGGCCTCAAACTCACAGATCCACAGAGTGCTGGGATGAAAGATATGTGCCACCATACCCAGCTCTTGCTTGAATTTTGGCTGGCTTCATCTTGTAGCACAGAATTTCTAAAATATTTTCCACTCATGACCCTTTTTCACCTGAGAAATTATTATTCAACCCTGGTTATACAAGTATTTTAACTGTGTATACAAATCCTTTGGTGATAATAAATTATGAACAAACTTATTCAAAAAGAGTACTCTGATATGTGTATGTTTTTACTCTTTTTGAAGAATAGAGCACATTTGCATCCAATAAGATATATGTACCTGATTGCTTTTACATAACAATTTAAATGTTGGCTGAGCATGTGATACTTCAGGACATAGAACCTCTTCAACATGTCTCAGCATTGAACATTATTTGGATTTTATAATCATTAATTCTGAGAAAATCACTTCACACAAATATGTAGTATCGAATAATAGAAATATTTTAGTGGCCATTTCAGAAGTTGATGGTAATTCTATGTTGATCTCAAACAAAAACTCACTGAATGATTTAGTGACCTTTTATGAAACTCGATTCAGCAACTCAAATGGCAATTATTAAAATCAAGCATTCTAACACAATATAACCCAAGTATATACAGATGTCATGCTCTTATACTCTAAAGAATGATGGTTTAAAATATTAAAATTCTTTGTTTTCTATAATCAAACCATCATGTTCCTTAAAAAGTGGAAGACTTTGCATACGCAGTAAAAGCAGTCAACTCATAGCCAATATTAGTCTCCAATCTGAGCCTAGATGTTTCAGATAGCAATCATTGGCAAATATCACGCATGGTGCAAAGTGTGTGTGTTGTGTGTTCAGAACCAAGGCTGTGGTGAGGTCACATGATACAACAAGGTTGAGCACTACCAGGACCATCTTGTGTTCCTTTGCCTTTGATTTTGAATCTGTGGTCACTGCAAATTAAGAGACTTTTACCTTCATCAAACTTTTGCAATCCTCCCATTCAGCTACACAGCCCCATATGGGGTCGTGGTCCACAGATTGAAAATCTGTACTTTATCACCCGGTGTCCAGAGTCTACGGATTTCACTGTAACCCCAGAGGGTATAACTCACAAGACATGCACTGCCAGCCTTCCCTCTGATCCCTGCCGCTCTGGCAGACCTCCACACTGTTTCAATCCAAACCATCTCTTCTGGAACAAGTAAAGATTCATCTTTGCCAGAATAGGTCTTAGCCCTAAACCAAACTGAGCAGCTGTTTGCCAAACTCAGCGGTGATGTTTGATGCTAATGATCAACATGGAGCTAAGGCCCTAAGAGTGGATGATGGAATGGAAAGTTGTGATGCTCGACTTTCCAGTTACATTTATAACATAACATCATGACTTAACATAGGATCTATCTAGTTGGCTCTGGCCTGCGGGGCATCAATAAAACTTTTCTTCATTTATTGTTCTTCTACATTTGTGGAAAGAATGTTAATGAAACATTTGCTTTATAAAAGACCCTTGGTATAAAATAAGTTGCACATCTTGAAGTTCAGGATATTTTAAGCATTATTAAGCTATATTGAAGGAAGGTTAAAAGAAAGCAAAAAGAATGCATTAAAATTCTTTCATCATTATTTTTCTCTTTGGCGATATGGTCTTCCTACATAAACAAGGGTGGGCTCAAACAAGGTCAGCCTCCTATAGCCTCACAGCTGCACACAGACACTGGCCACCATTCTTCTTAGTGAATGATTCTTTTTTCAGTGCCTGCATCCTCAAAACATTAAAATTTAAGCTGAATATCACATCCGCACTGGCCAAATACCATTCTCAAGTTATTTTAATTTGGGATAAAAAGAGAACCACAGTTAAAAGCAGAAAACTACAATGCTGATTTTGCAACCTCAATTTTGTAGGAATTCCAACTCTCCTTGAACCTCCATCTAATTCTTAACTCCCCAGGTGAACCTCACAAGTGCATCTGCAAGGTTCATACCAACAGTGGCGACGTACGCAAGGTGATATCTGGAATGCACAGTGTTCTCAAAAAAACAGAATTATATACGTATATGCTTTATCTATGACTATGTCTATGGATACACATGAGTATATCAATAGGTGATAGAGGTTTTATTGTAAAATACTGGTTCATATATTTGTGGGCGCTAAGAAGTTTCATGATTTTCATCTTCGGTTTGAGCTACAGGAAAGTTGATAGCATAGCTCAAAGATTTCAGACCAGATCTGAAGATTTGAGAGTGGAGAGTATAAGCTAAATGTCCCAGCAGCAGCTGTAGGAAGTCGTCCAACCATCTTTCAACTTTTTGTTCTATTTAGCCCCTCAATGATTGACTCACAGTGGAAAAGTTAGTTACTTTGCTGGACCCACCCATTCAATTACTAATTTCTGCCAGAAACGCCATCACAGACAATATTCCAAAAATGGTCAGTATCTGACCATCCTGAGGCCCAGTCAAGTGAGCACATACAATCAGTCATGAAGTCAAAGGCCCTGTCCTCATTCCTGTTGATATCTACTAAAGCGCTGATCCTATCGGTTCCTAGGAAAACAGGTAGCCAGACTAAGTGAGGTCCAAGGTGTGTTCACCCACCAGATACCATGGGTATCATGGCTAATGTCTAGCTACTAATGTTCTAAGGCCAATAATGTCCAATAGTTGCTTATGCCACTGAGAGTCCTTTTTTGGCTAAGGAAGTTGTCCTTTGAAGCCGTTACAGTTTTGATACTATTTTAAGTAGCAGAGTGTGTGCTTAAATGCCACAGATGTTTTCATGAAGACGCTTTCTCAGTCTTTTATTCTCCTTTGTTGCCTTATGATTCAGACATGCATTGCCATGATTACTCTGAATTCACCTATCTGCTACACTGAGAATTACACCTCTGTTTTAAGCCAACACACGGACTTGCTACAACCTTAAGTACATACCCAACCTCTTGTTTTCTCTTCCTTTAGGACTAGTGCATCTAGGAAAAGTTGCTCAGGCAAACACCCTTTATTGAAATACCCACTGAGTGTCTGGTGGACTCACAACTCCTCCCTGAACATCCAGAAAATCTTCTATACAAGGCAGTCATGCTGCAAATATCAATTTTCTTTCACTGAGGGTATTTGCTTCAAAAGAGAGATCCTTCATAGAAGATAGCAAGAAATATTCTTACCTTTATCCATGCTGACTGGTAGAGGAACTTAAGTAAAAAATTTGAGTTTTAAAAGCCGTAAGTGTTCATCTTAATTTTGACCGTGTGTGTGTGAGAGTACTCTTCAAAATATCACTATAACCTTCTTTAACTAAAAGCAATGCCCAAATCATCAAAATTATAAGACCCATGGGCCTTTTCTGCCCTTGTCCAGGGAAGTGCTAAAGAAAAGTTGCCTTTTATATAATACATCATGGCCTTCATAAATAAATTACACAACACACCAGAGCCTTCTTTAAATAAATTAAAGAATGTTCATTAATCCCAAAAGGATCCATAAAGACCTTAATGGAATATAGAAAAATAGTAATAAAAGAAGTTCAAGTTGGATTTTAGATCAGGGTATAACAACATGGAAATCTCAGGACTCTCCTAAGCAACTTTTACTCATGATATTGTTTCTAATTTGAGGGCCACAGGGGACCAGCATCAAGAAGAAGAAGATGTTATATCAAAGATTCTGAATGTTCCAGTTGTCACTGATCTGGCTTTCCATCACAGCTGGATGATAAAACAATAATAAAGTCACTAGGGGAACGTTATTCTGTGTCTTCTTTTTCGTTTGTTTTGTGTTGGGATGTGTTTGTGAATATAAGTATTTTTATTGGTGCATATTCATTGTACATAGCACTGAGTTTCATAAGGCTTCTATTTTAAATTGCTTTATAAAATGAAGCTGGAAATTACTCCAGCCGTAGGAATGTCTATAAGCTTCCTACAATCCCTTGAAGTCCGTCTCCATTTCATGTGCCTTCAAAAACCGGCTAGTTCAGGGATCTCTCTATTCCTATATTACTGTGCAAAGCAAGTTAGAGAGTTAAATTAAATCCATAAGAGAAACAATAGAGCATTTTATTTCTAGACAAAGAAGCACATCACCAAATGTGTTGCATGAATGGGAGGGTAGTCCTAGTGATTGCTTTTTCCTGGTAGTCATGGATGTAAAGCTCCTCATAAGTTTGACTTCATTCAAATTTCATGCTCCCAAAAAATGTATAATTTATCATTTGTATTTCACTTGTAGACAAACATAACATTAGAACTGTTTGCTTATCTTTTTAAGCAGTAAACTATCTTAAGCAATACATAGTCAATGGATGCATTTTCAAAAGATGTTTAGAAGAACTCCTGCACAGATGTAGCCCATGGCAGTTCATTGTCCAAGTGGGTTCCTAGTAAGGGGAACAGGGGCTGTCTCTGACATGAACTCAATGGCTTGCTCTTTGATCACCTCTCCCTGAGGGGGGAGCAGCTTTACCAGGCCACAGAGGAAGACAATGCAGCCACTCCTGAAGAGACCTGATAGACTAGAGTCAGATGGAAACAGTGGAGGACCTCCCCTATCACTGGACTTGGGGAGGGATATGCAAGGAGAAGAGAGAGGGAGGGCGGAATTAGGAGGAGACGAGGGCGAGGGATACAAAGTGAACAAACTGTAATTTTAGAAAGATGTTTAGAATGTCTCAAAATAGCTTTGAAATCATTTCACAGTTTAATTTTCAGGAGATTTGTAATCTTCAACAAGTCAGTTCCCTAGTCAAAAAAATATTAAACACAAACTATGAGTGTTAAATGCAGCATTAACAAGCTGACTAAAACCTATTTCAAAAACACTTAACTACAGCTATGAGCCCAGGCAACCATAGAAGGCAACCGTACAAGCCCCTTAGATATAGAAATATTAGATGAAAATGTATATTTAGGCAGCAAAATTCAGTCGAGTCAGTTTAAAAGTAACTCTATAAACAGATGGCCTTGTGAAAGGTTATCATTTTTGCACCTACAAGAATATATAACTTATATTGATTTTCTCCAATTTTCAGAGAATAGAAGTAACTCTGTCGTTATTTTTTTTATTATCCCTAAAGTTGAAAGCACATAGCAATTTAACCAATCTTAGCGGCTTTCAGGTTTTCAACCCTAAGAAGTTATCACTCCATGACTGTGGGTCCATGACTCAGTTACCCTGCTGGACACTTTCTATAAATTGAATCTGGAATTTATAAGTTCAGTGTCTATCATGATCCAATCTAGTATTTGAAGTCTTCCTCGTGGCCTCCATGTCTGCAGTGAAACATTATTTACTGGACATGACAGGACCATTGACACATGGACTGACAGCGGCTGGAGCATAAGACCTCCATAAGATCAAGCCAGGCAAAATTCCAACAGGGGCACTGCAGGTGCTCCTAAAGATCCCCCCTCTCTGAAAAGCTACGGTAATTGATGGGTGACTGGGGAAAGAAAAGTAAGTTTCCTTCCGGGATGCTGTGCCTGCGAGCATCGCCTGTGCATACTCCAGGAGATGGTCCTACACCAGTGTACATATAGGCAGTGTTAGGAGGTCTCCATCGGTTAGAGAGGGAGAGAAAAGAGACAATCTAAAATTAGAAAGACAAAGTGGTGGTGAGGAGAAGGGAGGAAGCAGAGGAGAGGGGAATCAATTAAAACACATTATATCCTTCTATGAAATTATCAATAGAGGATGACAAAGAAACGAGACAAGAACAATGAGTTACATACTAGAATTATAGGTTGAACATTTATTGAACAGTTATGGGATAGGATATTGGAATCAGGAAGAGACAAACAGGGCTCTTATGCTAGCTGTACATAGCACCCAATAGTCAGAGGAAGGAAAATCACTACACGCTGAGGCATGCCAGTCTACACCAAAAGACTCTATTTCAAAAAAGAAATAAAAAATTAAAAGCTTGATGCATTTGGAAACTCTTTACTGCTAATATAAAATATATTAGATGTGGAAGTATGTGGCTTTATCTCTACAGAGACAGCATTTGAGACGTGATTGCATTAGTGTTTCGTGTGTAGTAAGCCTGAGGAATGCTCGTGATCCTGTACTCAAAAGACAAGCACGTAGTCAACAGTCACACTAGAGAGTGGAGAAGGTCAGAGAATGCTTCCCAGGAAAAGTCAGGCTTGAAGCCAAGATTAGAAGGTTCTATGGAGGAAATGGAGGATTTCAGGAAGATAGAAACCAAAAGAGCACTCCCAGGGTAAAGCCGATGGAAGAAGCAGATTTCATTTGCAGTCAATTGCTATCACATCTGCCTACCAAGGCCACCATGGAATGGTCACCAACAGGGCTCCTGGTGGGAAGTTAGGGTCTGCAGAATGGAGCTGATACCTTACTTGGCCTGAGAAGAGAGGGAAGAGAAGGCACAAAATCTCTAATATCTTTACAGCATGTTAACCTAGTGCTCTACCCCATGAGAGCTGTGGACTGCTGGTTTTATTCACCAACCAGGCAACAGAAAGAGCAAGAAAGAATAAGGTGAAAAGCAAGCACTGTTACGATAGGCAAGAGTCTCTAGGTGAAAACAGGAAGGGGAAGGCCTGAGTAAATGTCCCTCCCTAATGCCACCTCTTTCAACTACTGTCATCCCTTGTATCTCCACACTAGTCCCTTAACTGCTCTTCATATTTCACTATGATTATGTTCTCCGCAGAAACCAAACAATTATTATTATCATTATTACTGTAAAACATACAGCACGGTATCATGGGTGGAATTGTTCACTTCTAAAATATATACATTTAAGATCTACCCCTCAGTGTGGCTGCATTTGGAATATGGAAATAAAGGGTTAAAGAAGATCACAAATTTGGGACCTGGTTCAGTAGAATTAATACACTTAAGAAGGAACACAAAGGAATTTGGTTCGTTCTCCTTGCCTTGCCTCTCCCTTTTTCTTTTCTCTTCCTTTGTTGCCTCCCTCTTGGCATCCCTTCGTTCCTCTCATCTGTTCCTATATATGCACACTGAGAAAAGACATGAGCACACAACAAGAGAGGGGTGAGCCAAGTTTACACCCTGCCGATAGACAGGCCATGAATAAGGTAGGACTCTCAGGAGCACCCTTGGCAATATATCTTACCCTGACCTTAACACACAAACTCCTACCTCTGAGGGCTAGGGTTACAGGAGTACGCCACCATGTCTGGCCTGTCGGCCTTCTTTCATTTAACATTACATTATCTATGTCAGTGCTGTGGGGTGGCTTTTATTCTGTGAGGAACTGCCAGACAGTTTTCCAGGACACCTAAATTCACACCACCCATACTCTGGTCTTTCAGTTTCTTCTTATCCTGATACTTGTTCTGCAATAATCTTTTGATAGTGCAAACCCAGTCAGACACATACCTGCCCCTTTTTAAATTAAAAAAGAAAAAAAAAAAAACTGAGCCCTTTGCCATGCCTGTAAGGCCTAACATTCTTTGGATGCCTCCTCATCTCTTTCTGCTAACACTCCCTCCCCCAACCTCTCAGAAGCGGTGCACAGGTCATCTAATAGTCCTTGTAAACTGTTAAGGGTATTCTGGACACACTGGAGACTGCATACCTGCTGGTCCCTTGGACCCATGCTTGTCTCCTGCCAGCAAAGATCTCTGTTAGAATAGACCTGCTTGGGAGACTCTTCCAGGGAATACTGTAGAAAGAACGAGCCCGGAGGGTCACATATCTACCTTTAAATACCCGCAACCTCATCGCTCAAGACCATTGCCTCCACAACGTTCAGGTATAAACTTCATTGTATACTTGTGCACTGTCTTCATCTACTAGGATGTGAGCTTCGTGCATGTGGGACCTTCTTCATCTTCATGGTCACTGCTATATTCCTATGCTATATTGCTGTGTCACTAGAGTGTTTCTGGAACAGAAAAAAAAAAAAAACCACTCCACAACATTCATCGTTCATTATTGATTACTTAATAAGTAAATGTGTGTCAAGAATTGAACATCAAGTTCCATTGAGCACCGGATACGTTTTGTTTTGAGTCAGGATTTCATTCAAGAACTCACTACAGAGCCCAAGCTGACTCCAAACTCATGGTGATCCCCACAGCCCCCTCAGTCCCCTGAGTGCTGAAGTTATAGGCATGAGACACCTTACGTGCTACACACAAGGCAACTTGGATGGCGTTTACTCAGGGAGTAGCAGGCGTATAAAAATGGACAGCAAGCTTGAGACAGAGCTTGAGGTTCTTTTGGCCTGGCTAAGGGCTTTTCTGTTAATCCTGAAAGCCAAACCTGTGTTACCAGCCCCTAAGGAATTTTAAACAAGTACATAGTTACACCTTATAAAATATTAACGGCAGCTATGTTCAGACTGAAAGCCAAAACCAGGGAAGGAGACGAGAAGAAACCATGATCGCCTGACAAGAAAC